GGGGGCTTGCTTGGGCGAGGGGGCACCCGGGGAGGAGTTCAAGTCGCACTCTCCTCAGCGTCCGTGCCAGGCACGGCGGCGCGCGCGAGGGAGGCGGTGGCGCGGGCGGGCCGGCCTGGCTCGGCTGGGCCTTAGGCCCAGTCGGGCGTGGGAAATTTTTTTAAAACAAATTTTCGCCGACCGAAATAAAATCCTAGAAAAATAAAAAAAATCTAAAAAATGCCAAAACAAATTTTCACCGTCTAAATAAAATATTTAGAACGGGATGAACATTTTCTTGGCCCTAAAATGCAATTTTGAAAACGTGCAATTTTTCTAATGCAAATAAAATCCGAATAAAATCAAATAAATGATTTTAATATTTTCCTCGAATATTTCAATTATTTTCGAGAAGTCATATTATCTCCTCTCATTTATTTTAATGTGAATTATTTTTCGGAGAGAAAAATAATTAAAATCAAAAATCCTCGTTTCAATATTTGATAAAAATCAAATATGAAAACAGGGAAATCCCCAACTCTCTCCGAGGATCCTTGAGTTGCTTAGGATTTTCGAGGATCGCGAGACGAAAAGCAAATGAAATATGAGATGCATGGATGACTATGTATAACATTCCAAATTGAAAATTTGGGATGTTACAAATATATGTGGGAATGGACTGGGCAATGGATTTTATGAACACGGCTTTACCACCTTGAGAAGGAAAGCCCCATAAAGTCATATGTTTGATCAACTTTTGTTGAAAGTTTTGAAACTTCCCTTTGGACATACACCCATCCGGAGTTGGAAGCCCCAAGTACTTTTCTTCAAAGTGCAAGTTTTCAATCTACAAGGTTGTTCTAACCTCATCCTGATGCACAATATGGCATGAGTCTCCAAACAAGATAGATCATTTCGCATGGTTTAACAATTGACCTGTGGCTGTAACATAGGTATTCAAAATATTTCTCACGTGCATGGCCTGTTCATACTTTGCTTCAAAGAATAAGAGAGTATCATACCAAAAAAGGACATGTAAGATGAAAATATCATGTTTTCATAAGATCGCCTGAAAGGCTTCCTCACCGTCTCAGATGCCTCTTGTGCAACCAAAGTGTAGAAACTATCGACCACATCATGGTTCAATGCCCTTCCACCCATAAAGTCTGGTTTGATCTGCTACGGAGGCGAGGTCTATCATCGCTCACCCCCACTATTGATGATTCGACTTGTGTGTGGTGGCGTGCCTATGAGGCGAGGGTTCCAGGTGTTCGGCAAAAGAATACCATGGCAATCCTCATCGTTGGGTCTGAAGGAAATACGCCCTAGAGGCAATAAAAAAGTTGTTATTTTACAGTTCCTTATATCATGATAAATGTTTTTTATTCATGCTAGAATTGTATTAACCGGAAACTTGATATATGTGTGGATACATTGACAAAACATCGTGTCCCTAGTAAGCCTCTACTAGACTAGCTCGTTAATTAAAGATGGTTAAGTTTCCTAACCATAGACACGTGTTGTCATTTTATGAACGGGATCACATCATTAGGAGAATGATGTGATGGACAAGACCCATCCGTTAGCTTAGCATAATGATCGTTAAGTTTATTGCTATTGCTTTCTTCATGACTTATATATATTCCTTTGACTATGAGATTATGCAACTCCCGAATACCGGAGGAATACCTTGTGTGCTATCAAACGTCACAACGTAACTGGGTGATTATAAAGATGCTCTACAGGTATCTCCGAAGGTGTTTGTTGGGTTGGCATAGATCGAGATTAGGATTTGTCACTCTGAGTATCGGAGAGGTATCTTCGGGCCCTCTCGGTAATGCACATCATAATAAGCCTTGCAAGCAATGTGAATAATGAGTTAGTTGCGGGATGATGCATTACAGAACGAGTAAAGAGACTTGCCGGTAACGAGATTGAACTAGGTATGAAGATACCGACGATCGAATCTCGGGCAAGTAACATACCGATGACTAGGGGAATAACATATGTTCTCATTACGGTATGAACGATAAAGATATTTGTAGAATATGTGGAAACCAATATGAGCATCCAGGTTCCATTGTTGGTTATTAACCGGAGAGGTGTCGCGGTCATGTCTACATAGTTCTCGAACCCGTAGGGTCCGCACGTTTAACGTTCGATGACGATTTTGTATTACATGAGTTATGTGATTTGGTGACCGAATGTTGTTCGGAGTCCCGGATGAGATCACAGACATGCCGAGCAGTCTCAAAGTGGTCGAGAGGTAAAGACTCGTATATAGGACGATAGTATTCGGACATCGAAAGTGTTCGGGGGGTACCGGGTACGTATCAGGTCAACGGAAGGGGTTCCGGGCAACCCCCGGCAAACTATATGGGACTAATGGGCCAAGAGAGGGACATACCAGCCCCTAAGGGGACGGTGCACCCCCTATAGGCCGAAATAGGAGGGAAAGGAAAGGAGGGAAGGGAGAAGGAAAGGGGGAGGATTCGGCCTCCCCCTTTCCTTCCACTCCCCCTCTCTTTCCTCCCCCCTCCGATGCATATGGAAGGGGGGAGCCCGACTTGGAGGAGGCGCCCAAGTAGGATCCCTCCTACTTGTGGCGCCCCTTGTTGCTCCCCTCCCTCTCCCACCTATATATATGGTGGGGGGCACCGCTAGAACACACAACATTGATTCCTAGCCGTGTGCGGCGCCCCCCTCCACAGTTTACGCCTTCGGTAATATTGTCGTAGTGCTTAGGCGAAGCCCTGCGCGGATTACTTCACCATCACCATCACCACACCGTCGTGCTAACGAAACTCTCCCTCGATACTTTGCTGGATCAAGAGTTTGAGGGACGTCATCGAGCTGAACGTGTGCAGAACTTGGAGGTGCCGTACGTTCGGTGCTTGATCGGTCGGAACGAGAAGAAGTTCGACTACATCAACCGTGTTGTCAAACGCTTCCGCTTTCGGTCTATGAGGGCACGCCGTACACACTCTTCCCCTCTCGTTGCTATGCATCTCCTTGATAGATCTTGCATGAGCGTAAGTATTTTTTTGAAATTGCATGCTACGTTTCCCAACAGGGTCTAAGAAGCTATAGCCGGAGCGCAATGCTCAAGTATTCGAAGGGATGGCGCTTAGGAACTTATCCTTCGAGGAATTGTTGTTGTGGTAGACGGCAATGCGGTCAACAGACAGGGTTAAGGAGTAGGTTTATTCCTTGTCAACATCGGTCTTGTTAGTACTACTTCCGTTTCAAAATAATTGAAGTTCAATCTGATTTGATACAATTCAAACTTCATTAAATTGACCAAGTTTATATGAAAGTATATCAACACCTACAACACCAAATTTGCTTCATTAGATTCATCACAAAATACATTTTGATATCATATATACTTGATATTGTAGTTCTTTGCAGATTTTTCCATAAATTTGGTCAAACTTTAACAAACTTGACTTAGGATAAAACTTCAATTATTTGTAGCTGACCCAATGCCTGTAATTAACTCTTTTCTGTAGACCGTGTTAGTTCTAAAACATCATGTATGGAGGGCACACAAGAGGAGAAGAATCCACGGAGGACACAACATGCATGTGACCAAGGTTAGATTTTGCAGCCAAGTGCGTGCGTGCGTGCGTACTCAAGTTAGTTGCCAGAGTACAAAATGTAGGTTAAACTGGTCACCGGAGCAGGCTAAATTATGTGGAGTAAGCAGTTCCAGAGACTGTCTATTTTAGTAACCCCGCAGCAAGCGCAGAGTTAGACCAGCCTACCTAATTACCAGCATGACACAACCAACGTAACCGACCATGCAGCTCAGCCGTGAAAAACAACCGTGAAATTACACCTCCCAGTCAAAAGCTATATTTAGCACCCATGCAATGTTGACCAGCCAAGATGAATCTGGTTCACTACAAAGTGAAAAAAAAATCCATTTACTTACTTATCATATGATTGTAACCGGTAATTAATTAACCAGGGTAGTGGTGTTTTTCAGTTCATTAATAATTTATTTACGGGCAGGGTGCATCCGCATCCGCGCCCTAAACCTGAAAGTCAGAAACGACTCTACGTGTAACCCGCGGGGGCCGGGTCAGGCCGACACGGACGTGGATCCGGTCAAGGCCGGGGACGGACGGCCGGGGGCGCCTCCACGCGCGCCATCGGACGGCCCGCGCGCCCCCATATCCCCCGCCGCCGCGTGCTTTATTTAGCCACCTCCCTCCCCCCTGCCGCGAGCTGCTACTGCTCCTCCCTCCTCCACCCTCCTCCGCCTCTTCTTCCCTCCCCTTGCCTCCAAATTGTCTCCGTCGGAGGCGCCCGGGCACGCACGCGCGCGGAGAGGTTTGGTTTTGCGGCCACCATGCAGGCGGCGACGGTGGCAGCGGCGGCCAACGGCGGGGGCGACGTGCAGAAGCAGCAGCAGGTGGGGGCGGCGCCGCTCCCGGCGGTGGCGGCGCTGGCGCCGCCGCCCCATTGGGTGGCCATGCCGTTCGCGCCGCCGGGCGCCGCGGCCATGGTGGTGCCGCACCAGATGGCGCCGGCGCCGCCCCACCAGTTCGCGCCGCACTTCGTGCCGTTCCACGCCGTCGCGCCGCCGCCCCCGCCGCTGCAGCCGCGCCCGGCGCACGTCGCCATGGGCTCCCCGGCCCCCGCCGCGCAGCCCGGCCAGGAGGAGAACAAGACCATCTGGGTCGGCGACCTCCATTACTGGATGGACGAGAACTACCTCCACACCTGCTTCGGCTACACCGGCGAGGTGAGCACGCCCCCTCCCCCCAACCCCAGATCTCGCCCACGTCCACGCCGCCCCCGAGCCAAAGCTGCCAAAAAGAGGCACACCGTCTCCCTTTGGCATACCCCACTGACTAGGAACCCTTTTCTTGGATGTGACAAGCCCGCGAGATACACTGAATGTGTGGTTAAATCACACCCCATCCCACGAAAAATGGCGACAGGTTCCAGAGGCGCGATTCGTCTCTCGGGTCGCGCGAGGTCGGGGGAGAGAGAATGAGAGAGAAAGAGAGGCGGATCTTAACAAAGACTGGGTAGAGCCTATAGCTGCAGGCCTGCGGTGCGTAGCGCAGAACGCAGACGCGGGCAGCAGTACAAATGATTGGGTCACTGTGCGGAAAGAGGAAATGGGCGAGCAACCGCTGGGCACCCCGGGAGGCGTGGATCTGCGGCCTGAAACTGGAAAACCGCAGTCCCCTAGATTGGCTGAGGCAACGCAAGATACCCCCTATCCTTTCCTGCGCTGGTCATGGGGATATGCTTGGTCTGATGTGCCAGGTTGCCTACCTCGTAACGGCAGGATTGCTGGCGCACCATGGCCGTACATCTGTTTCGCCCCTCATTGGCCCGTTTTCAGTTTGGCAGCGTTGGGGATTGGGATGTGCTGATTAGGTGCGTGCTTCTTCTATGTAGAAACTAGCCGATCTACTTCTTGGCAGAAAAGGAGGACATTTACATTTTCTCAAACTACACTCAAACCAGTTAGAGTTAGGGCTTTACACTTTAGAAGAACTGAGCCCTGAATATTCAACTATTGTGATAGAAAATGAGGGTTTCTGCTTGAATGGGAGTAGCACCTTTTGCTCTTCCATTTTCGTGTCCACTAACATAGTAAAATGTCATCAAGCTGAGCTTACAAACGATTCCTTTATAGGCTCCAGTTTCATGTACTGTCTGTCTTTGCTGCACTTCCATTTTCATCATTTTGTAGCAGCTAAAACGTGGTGCGACGTTGTCACCTCCAGAACAATGGAGAAAAGACTTGATGACACATGGGGTTTATATGAGGACAAAAATGCTCATCGTTTTTAGCAGCGTTAAACCGAACGTTTTGCTGGGCTGTTTCGCCGGCCTGTGTCTTGACAATTGAAATTCTGAACTGTCCAGTCAGTTGAGGAACATAGACTGCATTGCAATGTGTCTTCTTATGCAATTTACAGCTCTTACTATCCAAGCTCAAACTTGTACTGATGTGTATGAATATGATGTAGGTTGTCGCAATCAAGGTTATTCGTAATAAGCAAACCGGGCAATCAGAAGGATATGGATTTGTAGAGTTCTACAGTCATGCTGCAGCTGAAAAAGTACTTGATGGTTTTGCTGGGCATATAATGCCAAATACTGACCAACCTTTTAGGATAAACTGGGCATCATTTAGCATGGGGGATAGGCGTTCGGACATTGCTTCAGATCATTCCATATTTGTAGGCGATCTTGCCTCTGATGTCAATGATACTGCATTGCTAGAGACTTTCTCCAGCAGGTACTCCTCTGTCAAAGGTGCAAAAGTTGTTATTGATGCTAACACTGGTAGATCCAAGGGCTATGGCTTTGTGCGGTTTGGAGATGATAGTGAGAAGACAAACGCCATGACCGAGATGAATGGAGTGTATTGCTCAACTAGGCCCATGAGGATTGGCCCTGCAACTCCCAGAAAATCTTCAGGTTGGTTAACAAGTTTCTCAGTTCCTATGTGCTCTGAATTAATTATTGGCCCAACTGAATGGAGGTTCCTTGATTTGGTTGTGTTCTTTCCCTGTTAATTTACGTTTTCTTTTGAGATAGTCTGAAACTAAATCCACACAACCCTGTACCTATATGCAAACATATGAGCCTGGCTGTTGTATTACTGATGGGGCGAGATTCCAATGATTTTAAAACGTGGTTAAAGGGGAAAGTTCCCTCCCTTAACTGTTCGTTATTTAGGTAGAAATGAGACCTTCCTGTGGATCGAATGCGGGTGGGCTAGCTTACACCCATAAGCTCTAGCCATCCGAGCTAGCGCTGATTCCAATGATTTTGATTTTAACCATTCGTAGAAGTTCTGGTTTCTAGGTGGGGCTACTTTTAGTTAGTTCCCTGCTCTTTAGCATCTCTTTGCCACTTTAACTTGAAATTTTCACTTGTACTTTATCACACATCTGGACTTGTTTACATTCAGCATTTGTTTGGGAGGGAGATTCGTTCAGAATATAGTTCACACTTAACACTATCTATGTTAGAAAACTGTTTTTGCTCTGCATTCATGCCTTGCTGATTTTCCGCACCACCTTTTTGGAAAGTGGGTTTGTATTTGTGATAATGACATAAGTTCATACTTTAGAGGATATTATTGATTAGTCAAATAAAATCTGAGAACTTGTGAATTGCTATTAACATTATTCTTCTAGATAAAAAATTCTACAGGAACCATTTAATGTTGTTTGCATAGCTGTGACTGTTTTTCTGTTTCCTGAAAAAATGTTGGTGTAGGTACTTCTGGATCTACTGGTTCATCCGCTCGATCAGACGGAGATTTGACAAACACAACTGTGAGTACAGATGCATTAGCTGTAACTTATGCAATATACATCGTTATAGCTTTTCTCTTATAATCGTTGTTTAACTCATTAATTGTCCTTAGGTATTTGTCGGTGGGCTTGACCCAAATGTCAGTGAAGATGATCTTAAGCAAACCTTCTCCCAGTATGGTGAGATTTCCTCTGTGAAGATTCCAGTTGGGAAACAGTGCGGGTTCGTGCAGTTTCTTCAGAGGTATGGATTATTGGCCATGGACTTTTATACTTTTCAGTTCCTCCCCACATACAATATTTGTTTGGTTAAATTGGCTCTGTCACCATGATGGAATTCGATCGATTAATGCTGTCAACGTTTTTCCCTTTCACAGAAAGAATGCAGAAGATGCATTGCAAGGGCTAAACGGGAGCACCATCGGGAAACAGACCGTGCGCCTTTCATGGGGTCGCAATCCAGCAAACAAGCAGGTACTGTCATATGCTCATGTTGCCTTCCCTCCCTCCTTAAACAGTAAAATTGTGCAGCCAACATAACCCAAGAACCTGACGCTACTGCATCTCTTCTTTGCAGTTGAGGAGTGACAACGGCAACCAGTGGAACAATGGGATGTACTACGCGCCCTCGCCGTTCTACAATGGGTACGGCTACCCCGCGGCACCGTTCCCTGACCCGGGCATGTACGCTGCTGCCTACGGCGCGTACCCGGTCTACGGGAACCAGCAACAGGTCAGCTGAAGATAGGAGGTTGACACGCCCATCGCACGACAACCGGAGGCGCGCACGCAGTAGCTGTAGCTCTTGCTAGGGAAAGAAGGTAGACGACGACGGCTTCTTAGGTGAGCTAGATGTAGTGACTGGTCATGTAAAGTACATTACTACTATTACGAAGAACTAGCACCACTAAGACACCTAAAATGACTCGATCGCCATGGTCGTCTAGCTGGATTGTTCTAGGAAAAAAGAAGTTTTGGCCTAGAGCTGCAATATTAAGGTAGAACAATAATCTATTCAATATCTTCTGTGCGGTTTCTGATCGATTTGGCTTTTTTGGTGTTTGATTTCGAACTGATGTTGAGCTGAGCAAGTAGGGCTAGCTGCTAGAATATTTTGCAAACAATCAATAGCTCATCCTAGCTAGCAATTTCGTCACATAAATCGTTAGATAATTAGACTTCGCGAAGTCTAAGTCAACTGACGTCATATGTAAATTGATCCCATGTTTAACTCTGTTCGCGTGTGTGGAGTTCGGTTTTCGTGTTCGTTCTGCGTTGGCCTGCGTTGGCTTGCCACATGGGCTGGTGTTGGGCTGTATTGTCATCGTCCAGTTGTTGTGCATGTGTTTTTTTTTCTTTCTTTATTTGTGCTTGCTTTTTACTAGATTGCTAGAAGATTGTTCCGTTTGGTGTATTGCTGCACAGTACATTGTAGCTCTTAATTTTGTCGCTAGATTTTTTAATGCTCTCCTTCTTTTCGTGTCATCTTGTTATTTTTTTCCTTTTATCATTTCTTTCAAAAATTATTTTGTATTTTTAAATGACAAAAACAATCTTTAATGTAAAAAAATAGAAAAACAAACAAAATTAAAAGAAGAAGACAATTTAATTATCTGTGACCGATAGATAAGCAACTATATGCAGCCGACTAATGTGTAATTGGGTATCAATATTATTTTGAAAGGTGAAAAGTAAGTTGCATGGGAACCACATGTAATTGTGTGCGATCGAGGACATGCAATTGCATGTGGCCGACATGTGTGCGACTGGGTAGACGGACAAGTGCATGTGGCTGACGTGTGTGCCACCTAATTGCAAATATTTTGAAAAAGGAAAAACAATTAAATTGGCTGACAAATATTTAAAAAGTGGAAAAAATAGTTTTCACATGGACGACGGACATGCAATTGCGGTTGGCTAACAAATATGCAACTTCCCTCCTCCCTGACAAAACAGAGTTGCACTCGCCTCAAAGACATATAATTGCAGTCGGGTAAAACTTGCAGTTGCATGCCTAGTAGAAAACTGCAATTGCCTCCCTTCCCGCGAACAAAACACCACTGAGTTGCAGTTGCAATCAGAAGGCACATTTGCAGTTGCGTGTTTGTTGGAAGACATGCAATTGCACTCGGGGCAATGCTTGCAGTTGCGTGCCTAGTAGCATACTGCAACTTTTCCCCCTATGACAAAACACCATTGAGTTGCGGTTGCAGCCAGGGGACACACTCGCAGCTGCGTGCCTATTGAAAGACATGCAACCTATCTCCCTTTCTGATAAAACAACACGGAGTTGCAGCCGCGTTGAAGACATGCAGTTGCAGTCGAGGGTGACACTTGCAATTGCGTGACTAGTAGGAGACATGCAACTATCTCACTCCCGTGGAACAAAAAATGAGTTGCAATTACAGTTAGTGGCCCACTTGCACTTGCGTGCCTATTGGCAGACATGCAACTGCCCTCCTCCCCCAAAAAACAACAAAGAGTTACAATCGAAGGCGACACTTGCAGTTGCGTGCCTAGTAGCAAACATGCAACTGCCCCTCCCCTGGAACAAAAACAAATTGAGTTGCGGTTGCAGTCGCGGGGCACACTTGCAGTTGCGTGCCTATTGGAAGCCATGCAACTCGCCTCCCTTCTCGATAAAACAACACAGAATTGCAGCCGCGTTGAAGACATGTAGTTGCAGTCGTGGACGACAACTGCAGTTGTGTGACTAATAACAGCCATGCAACTGCCCCGCTTCCATGAAACAAAACATCATTGAGTTGCAGCTGCAGTTAGCGAAGACACTTGCAATTGCATGCCTATTGGTAGACATGCAACTTCCCTCCTTCCAACAAACCAATACAGAGTCACGGCCAAAGGGGACACTTGCAGTTGCGTGCCTAGTGGCAAACATGCTGCTGCCCCCTCCCTTGGACAAAACAGCATTGAGTCCCCCCCCCCTCTCG